GAAGTATCGGTTTTTGTACTCTGTATCGGCAAGTACTCAGATCCAAGTATCGGTTTGAAAAAATTGGTATCGTTGCATCCCTAATATATTTATATATGTGTGTATATATATATATATATACTGAAACATAGGCAGTTTTCATTAAGCATGAAGGTATTTGGGAAACTGTAAAATTGCAAATGTGATCGTCTTCTTTTTGCAACCTGCTCAAATTGCAGATTTCCTGCAACAATAAAAGTTCAGTGAAGCTTTGATGAAGTTAATGCAAACAGTTCCTACAGGTAATGAGCCGCACAGCGGTGCAGAGGAACCAGATGGTTCTTCCGGTGATGGAAGACAAACAAAAAGCACTTGCAGCTGGTCTGAGGTGAACGGGGCAGACGAGTGTAGGTGTGCACAGATATGAGCTGTTGCCCAGTGACCACACTGTGACTGAATGAAAATCAAATAATACTGTAAGTGAACATTTGCAAATGCAGTTACACTGCATATAAATGAAAATATGATCATGTAAACGTACCTATTAGCTACCTGCTAGCACTGAGTCGCTGTGAGCAGCCTTTATACTATTATTATATGTCTGCACCTTGTAGCTTTAATAAAGCGAGCAGGGGAAGGACGCCGTTGACCCTCCTCACGGTGCTTCGCAGGCGTGTTTTACGGTTGTATGGTCGAGTGTGAGAACTGCAACAGTTTTACACATCAAAGTTGTTTATAGGTCTCCGGGAGCGAGGCTGCATTTGTGGGAGAAGCAAATATTTGTGGGCACAGAGGGAGCCGTGTGAAGTCTGATAAATTGCCCCGAGTGGTGAAAGCAGCACGAATATCATGAAATACTAGAATGAGTTTTGCTGCAGCCTCACTGTGCTGGACGGACGCTGAAGCTGAAGCAACGAAATCCAGTTACACTGAATAAACCACTCCACATCTGAAGGCTGATTTTGTCTCGTGATTATTTATTCAGTTATTTTTCTTTAAAGCTTGAATCAGCAGCTAAAGCGTCTCTTCTGTTTCCCCCGTGTCTGCACAGAGGTGTCTGTGTCCTTCGACAGAGAGTCCTCCGTCACCTACACCTTCCAGGAGCCCTTCTCAGTGATGCAGAACAGAAGCTCTCAGGCCTCCACCTCCTCCACGGACAGCAGAGCCAGAGAGGACGTGGCCTTGAGCTTCGTCACCTCCCAGAGACCCGCCATGCTGCTCACTGTCAGCACCTTCAGCCAGCAGTACATCGCCGTCATCCTGGCCACAAATGGTACGTGCAGGAATTACACATGTTGTTGTGGTTGTGTAATCACGTTCTTCTTTGAATGCAAACTTTAAAAACATGCTTCTCGTAGGCAAAGAAGCCATGCTGAATAACATTTACATCCTGTTATCTGAAGAACAACAGCAGGAAATACTTGTTTTGATTCTGTTTTTATGAGTCAGAGTTCACTTTGGCTCCGTAGTCCTCTGACTCGGATTCCTGTGTAATTATTTAGAGTATTTGTTGACCACAGAGCAACCTGGGCTTTGTTCTTAAGAGCATTAAGAGAGTTAATGTTTGTTTTACAGTCCAGGTGGTGAATTTCTCTGGATTTCTGTATAACTGTGAATGTGGTGACAACACTTCCACTGTCACATGGTTCATGTCTTGATTTCAGACAACAGCTGGTTTTCCAGAGTTTAATTAGTGTAGTAACGGAGAGAGGAGAGGTGAAAACAACCTGTTGTGCAAACGTGCAGCCTCTTCTGTCTCGTGCCTCCCAGAGAAGCACTTTGAATCGGCCTGAGCGTCTGGGTTGTGTAGTGGCACTAATGGGAGTGAGAAGAACACCATGTGCCATGCTGGGGCAGGCGCTTTGGGCCTTTTATTGATGAAACCAGCTCTGAATGGAGCGCTGCCACCAGGTCGCTGTGTGGGAAACAGGGAGGACAGTAAAGCACAGCTTGAGGCAGGAAAATGGTGGAGTTGTTGGAGTGGAAGGTTTGTACACTTTCTTTAAAAATGTGTGCAAACACGGCACCACTGTGCTCGGCAGCGAGGCTTTCTCCTCCTTTATTTCCTCCTGAGCTGTTAAATAGGAGGAGGAGGAGGTGATCAGCTGTGGGGAAGAAGAAATAACACTGAATAGAAAACGACGGGTCTCATACTGTACAGCATGTATCTGTGTACTGTAGCAGTGAGTGTTAATGGGCAGCTTTGGGTCCTCGCAGGCTGAACAGTACGAACCTGTCAGTGCTGTGATCTCGCTCAGCAGCATGAACAACAATAACTGTGGTAACAAAATTACATTCATTTACTTATTTGGTACATTTTAGCTGTGTTTGTCAAAGCTTGTCCACTTTCATCCACGCATCCACCATCACTGCTATACTGAACCTATATGAATGGCAGGGCGGCTTGCTAAGTAATCAGCTTGTATATGTGGGCAGAATATTCCTCGGGGGGCTGGAACAGACCCACAGACCACCTCAGTGTGGGGGCCACCTGAAAGGAAAACTCTACAGCTGCCACCAAAAAGCTTTGGTTAGAAAACTGAATCCATAAACTGTACAGGCACAACACACACACAACTGCTAATTAGTGGTAAGTATCATAGTAATCAGATTACAGCTGGAATATCATAAAAACTGCATCTTATTGGATGGCCT